GTGGCTATGATTCTTCACACCATGTAAGTATATTGGGGCCCTTAGTGGTCTATGCTTAGGACGGCGCTGGCGCTGTTCAGGAGATAGATTTCAAAGATGGGTTTATATGGATCACGGGGGCTCTGATTGCCAATGTGTCTCTTTCTAATCTTAGGAGAGAGAAAATTCTCCACTTCTCATAATCAAAAAAGGGTATGTCTTTGATTTGTTTTCTGATTTTTTACTTTCTTATCGTAGATGGGTTTGTTGTTATTTAGGGTTTTGATTGTCCTTGATTGCCAGTTGTGGTTGTATATGTTTCTATGTTAGCTTATTTATTGTTGTGGTAGTCCAGAAATTGATTTTAATTATCTCATTTCGGTAATTGTCCAATATGTTTTAGTTCTCAATTGGGCAAGACCTTGTATATCAATTGTCTTTTTCTTTCTCCAGGGCTGGGACCTCCAAACTTTTCAATGCATTGAGACACTTAATGATCATGCTGATGCTGTGATGTCTGTGCTTTGCTGGGATAGCTTCTTGTTATCTGGTTCCCTCGACAGTACAATAAAGGTTTGGGCTGCAACTGAAAGTGGGAACTTGGAAGTAGTATATTTAACATCATTGGAAGTAGTATATTTCACTGGACATGCAACTGGGCAGCTCTTTGTCTGAAAATTGCTGGGGAGACAAGTACACAGCCTTCATGAAAACGTTTTTGTATAGATAATTCCCTTGTAAATACACGGAACTTGTAGCGAAGTAGAAGCAACATGATTAGTTTTAGCCAAACTGCAGATGTGTAAAATTTCATTCGGGTTAGTGAAAGCGAGTTTTTTAAAGAATATTAATGTTATCATTTAAGGGACAATCAAACATGATTTTTGATTGTATTTACTATTAACATGTGTTTTGCGACTTTAGTATGTTTTGAGGTAGTTGGACTATGTAGTTTTTTCGAATGATATCTTTATGAATATGATTTTTTTTTTTTGTGTATCATTATATGTGTAGGATATGTGCAATCAATACTATTAACAATTATGACACAAATTAGTGCTTTCACATCCAAACGTGGTTGTTATAAAATACATTAATTTAAGTATTTTAAATTTTTAGTATCCAAACACTACTTATTTAATAAAAATATTTTTCTTATAAACACTTTTGATAAATATTTATTAAAAAAGTATTTTTTGGATTTCACAAGTTATCTCAAACACACTCGTATAGTAACTTTTTTTTTTTAAAGGGGTGCAACACGAGGATTTTTCAGGAGGTCACCATCTTAGTACTACTTTTGTCCAAACACGTTTAACTACGAAGTTCTGATCTGTAATTATTTTTTTTAGTTATAATTTCACTGCAAGTAAATCATAATTGATTTTTTTATAGAATCGCAATTTTTAGTACAATAACAATTTCGGTGCTATGACTTTTCTCGCATGCATATGTAAGGATGAAAATATGATATTAGAAATATCCTAAAAACTAATTTATTGTCACAAATGTTCAATTGATTCACTTTTAGTTGTTAATCTTGAAAATAAAAACAATAAAATTAGAATTACAATAAGAGACATTTCCACACATATTATGTGTTGTTTTAAAAATGAAATACAAAAAACATTTTTTTATTACTCTCTTTGCATGCATGTGCTTAATTAGGGATGCGAAGTGGCGGCCCAATCCAGCTTGTCACGGCAGCGTTTCTAGGCACAAGATCTTGGAGAGCATGTGTCTCGATGATTCGTCTTTATCTATATTTTATATATTTATATATATATACTATTAATAAAAGTACTTTAACATGAAAATTTTTGATTTATTATTTTACCCTCATAAAAAAATAAAAAGATCACTTATCTTTTTACCCTTAATATCTAAATTACCATCATATCCCTATACATTTAAATTTATAAATTACATCTAAGATTACTTTTAATTATATATTCCTTATGTATAAATATCAATTTTTATGAAATTTTTTGATTGATTATAATAATTTAAAAAAATATATGCATAATTATAAGTTTTATTAGTAATATAGATATTCCATATGTATAAATGTAATTTTATGAAATTTTTTGACCGATTATATTACTCTTAAAAAATATATGCATAATTACAAGTTTTAACAAAAATATTCAAAAAGTCCTTCAAAAAATTCATTTATATAATATTACTCACCTCATTTATAAAGATAATATTATAACTACACATATATTTTATTTTTCATCAAAATGTTTAACCCTGTATGTATATTTTATTTTTTTTATAAAAAATAATGTATATATAAATTTACATAATTTTTTTAGTCACAATAAACTTTTCAGACTATGTTAAGATTTTATGTGAAAATTTGAATTTTTTTTAAATTCGAATATGTTTTATAATATATATTATAACATTGTATTTTAAATTTTATCTCAATGAACCTAGATAATCCAAAACACAGTAAGGTAGATAATTATTTTTATTTTATTCAATGATTTATAAGTGCAATTTTAATCAAATTAATTTTTTTAATTATTTATTCTCTATTTATAAATGTCATTTTTTATGAAAATTTTTAATTGATTATATTACTCTTAAAAATACATGTATTATTATAATATTAACAAAATATTCAAAAAAAAACTTTAAAAATTTCATCAATATAATATTACTCACCTGATTTATAAAGATAATATTATGACTACATATGTATATTTTATTTCTCTTCAAAATGTTTAAATATTTTATTTTTAAGATAAAAAACAATATATATATATATAGTTTTACATGATTTTTTAGTCCCAATAGACTTTTTAAACTGTGTTAAGATTTTATGTAAAAACTTAATTTTTTTAAAAAATTTAATATAGTTTATAATATATATTATAACGTTGTATATTAAATTTTATCTCAATTGACCTAACTAATCCTAAATACGTTAAGGTTTCAATATGATTGGTATTTTGATAATTATTTTTATTTTATTCAATGATTAATAAGCTGAATCTTGATCAAATTAATTTTAAAAAATTTAATTTTCAAACATCACTAAACAATCACTTTCAATTACAAAATTATAGAATAAATAGAACTTTGATTATTTTTTTTTTATCTTTTTTCTTAAAATTAAAATAATAAATCTTGAAAATATACAAAGGTTTCAAAAATTCTATAGTCGAGCATGAGCGATGAAAAAATAAGTTTAGTAAATTTTTGCTGATATTTAATTCAAGTACACATTTACTAAATATTTATTTATTAATTTTTTTAAAAAAAGTATTCACGTGCAACGCACGTGGTGTATTGCTAATTACCTTAAAAATATGGAAATTTAAAATATAATAATTATCATCTCGAGATTTTATATTTATATTTGACTATCACATGAGAATTTTGCTTCCTATAATAAATATTATTATGGGTAATCCGTGTCGGAAGGTACGATACATGAGAATTCTGCGTGTAAATTAACCCAGATACCCCTGACCGTTGAAAAAAAAACAAGTTTAAAGTTTATTTAATTCATAAAATATCAAAACAATTGAAAAAAGAAAAATAAATCTTCAAAATATTATTGTCAAAATACCAAAACCTAATGAATAGCTTTATGACTTAACATCAGTCAAAAAAATCCTAGTAGTCCAAAATTACCCAAAAATTCAATCTTTACATGTAAAATTATAAAAATAGAAAAAATAGAAAAGTACATAAAAATATTCTAAATATCGTTTTTGGTTTAAAATCAATTAAGACGATGAAATCAATCTTGTAAAATTGTAAAATAAAAAATTCATAATGAAATCTTATATAATTTTCTAATATCGAAATTTGAAATAGGTCCCGATTAATACCCTCCCCTAACCATCCCATCCTAATCTATCTGATATTTCTAGGGTATGCTTGCGTGCTACATAAGTTCCAAAATAAAAATCTTTGCGTAATTGTGTCATTGCTATAGGAACAAGCAATAGGGATGCTTCTTTGGTACATAACATGTGGGGGACTATTTGACTTTTAGAAAAAAATTTGATATTATATTGAAATTAATTTAGAACTGTAAATCTTGATTTATATTATAAAAATAATAACATAATAAGATAAAAAAAAATGGGACTATTTCCACCTCATAAATATTCATTCTCGCTTTCTTTTAGATTTTGATAGATTTTGTGTGTGAAATTATTTTGAGTGCTTGATATTTTTTGAAATTTTAGATAATTCACCCTCAAATAGAAAACATATTTCTAATGTTATACCAGAGAATTGTATTGTTAATGACATATTAACATGCTATGATTATTGTTTTTTTTATTGAGTGATGATTACAAGTTAAATGATATATTAAAATTTTTTTTAACAAGATATATTAATTATGACCAAAAAAAAAAGAAAGAACAAGATATATTAACATGTTAATGGGGTGAGCCTAGTCACTAATTGGTGAGTACATAAGAGGATGAACTTAATGATTAAAGAGATGTACATAAAATGAATGAGCTTACTTATTAAAGGGATCCATATAGCATGTAGTGAACTTACTATTAAGGAAGGTATAAAATAGGTGAACTTAATAGTTTGATAATAACAAATTAAATAAGGTGGGAATAGATATTTGTGGAATGAGAATAACCTCACTCTAAAAAAACTTGTATCTATCAAATTCTTATTGGACAAAAGACAAAAATATGATAATAAAAAGTTAATTTTTTGATATTATAATTAGAGTATATCCACATCGAGGTGTAGCTGTAGGCCATGTTGCTACAGGATTAATGAGCACATATACCTAGCTGACACCTGACATTTAATAACCACCTCTGTTTCACATAAATGCCCAATACAAATCATTACATGATGCCTTATGGTGTTCGAAATCAATTAACCTAATTATAGAATCACTTAGGGCGTGGTTCAGAGGGAATGAATATGAGCCTATGTAACAAAAAGCGTGTGTTGACAATGAAACAAAGATAGAAATATAAGTGGTTCATCTCAGCAGATGGACTAAGGTTACATTCATTGTAAGGAAGACTTTTGCTCCTTGAGAATTATACTGCTTAGAGAAGAAGGTTGTTGTTACAAGAGATTTGGCTAAAAGCCTTTTAAAGAGTGTTTCCTAGGTTACTATTGGGTGATCTTTTTTTTTACATATCTCTACACAATGGTGTCGTTTGCTATTTATACATCCCATCATTAGGGTTTGTGGTGGTTCCTTTCCTGGTTGATTTTGTGGTCCCCTCCTTGTTTGTCCTTTAACTTTCAAGTTCTACATGGATACGTGCATAAGATAGGTTTGCCCATGTATCTGTCACTTTCTCCTCCAGGTAGAAAAGCCGGACTGATCCTGACATCTCTAACGTTTTCTTACTCCCACTACGCCTTGAACAGAATACGTGAACCATCTCTATTGTCGGTGAATATTCGTTCGTTGTCAAGTAATGTCCCTTTGTCTCTTGTCCACATGTCATAGCATGACCATCAGTGAATTGCCCGGTGCCAAGCTCCCAATTCCCTAACGGATATTAGTACTGAGCTTGTTGATGGCTAGTTGACATATCATCCAAGCTGAATTATTCTAGGCTTTCATGGCTCCAATAAATGCTATCTAGATGAGGCGCTTGAGTCATCTTACGTGAGCCCAAAGGGGTTTTGGGCTTCGAAAGGGTGCACAAACTTAA